ACATAACACAACCAAGAAGCACATAGAGAATTTAGGAATGAACGAAGGGAATTAGTTAATATTATGCATAATAGTATGCACTAATCGTTAGGTTTGTAGAAAAGATTGTTGTAGATTGTAGCGTGGTGCGGGGGGCAGGGCGATGGCGGTAAGCAAGGGCAACACGGAATTGATAGTGCCTTGCTAAAAACGCATCCGGGTTGGCCCCCGGATTTTTCCGGGTCCCCCCTGCTGGGCCAAGGAGGAAAAGCCATCCTAATGGTTGAGAGATTGTGGTTCTGAGGTATCTGCTGTTTCCGGTATCCAAGTTCTGGGGTTCGTGGCGTTCTTGGGGTATGGGGGTTTACACCTGCCAGGGTCACTAAGATCACCCTCCCCACTTTCGGCTCTTTCTGCATCTAAGTTTGGGCATGTTGGGACCCGGGTTATCTAGGGGGGATACCCAGTCTGCTCAACGGCGCTGCAGAACAGGAGATCGGGGGGGGCGACTGCCCAAGCACCACAGTGACTCTGACCGAGACTGAGGGGAGTCTCTGTGTCCCAGACAGTGCGGTAAGCTCAGCCTCGCACCATCCGCCGCGACCGGCTCTGGCCGCATGGCTTTGCCCGATCACGCTCTAGGAAAGGAATGTTTTCTCTCGTTCCTAGATGCATAGGCAACTAGGTGATGTCAAGCACTGAGGCATGAGCTCAGGAATTCGGGTGTTGGAGGTTCCAGTGACAGCAGAAAACAGGATCTCGCGGTCTTCAGTCGTGTCGTGGCTCGAGCTGCAGCTTGAGCCGGAAACCTCGAATTCAGGTCGACCACCTACGTCTCGCACCGTCCTTAGCCCGGCTCCGTGCCCTTGCCAAACCTGTCGGCCGGACCTCTGCGGAGCCCTCCTCAGTCACTGCTTGTCTGATCACAGCCACGACCTACCCAACCCCAACACTTCCAGCCCCACAGGGAAACTACGAGCCTGGGCCTAGGCGAACTGCCCTGCACAACGCCCGAAGTCGATTCCTTCACGACATGAGGGAAGCTCCGGATGCTCGTCAAGGGGCTAGCTCGGCCCGCGCCAGCACCCCTCTCCCACGCAGCCTCGGCCAGTCCGAGATCCTGGAAGCTTTCGGGCTTAGCAGTGCCCTTCAAGCGGGGGGGTCGTAGAAGCATTCGCGCTCCGAGGTGTCACTCTCCTGCTCTGTGCGTGGCCATAGTAAGCCTGCTTACAAGGCTCTTTCCCAAAGCCTGGAGACACATAATAATAACAATAATAGTTGAAAAATTATTTTTAGTTTTATTTATTTATTTTTTTTCTAATGAATATTCAAATGTCTATTATAGTAGTAATAATGATAATAGTAAGAATAACAATAGTAATACTAACCCTTTTTGGGAAACGCCTGGCAGCCAGGCCGAACACGCAAAGGCTCTCGGGTGCCGACCACTCTCGCTGACGTGCCGGCTGAGAACGAGCATGGTCCTTGAGGATGCGGACACGAAGGCTACGGTGACTTTGGCACAAGGAGAAGGGGGTTCACATGGATCAGACGTTTCTGCGGGGCTGGCAAAGTCTTTTCTGCGACCCCGGAAGCAAATCTGAAAGATGCATTTTGGGCCAAGTTTCCAGGGCCGTTCGTCCAAGCATGTCGGTTCGAGCCTGGCGCACAGACTTTGTCCGGCATACAGCAGGAGTGCCGCTGTGGTTGGGTGACTTCAGCAGACTTGCGAAACAGCTCAAGTGTGTATCGAAACCAGCTGGCCCGCGGGAAGGTCAGTCAGACCTGCCGCCCTTCGGGATTTACGGTTTCTTCTGTAGCTAAGTCTCGAAACACAGGTTTAAGTGCTCAAGTTGGGGTTTCACGAATTGCTTGGTGGTATCCTTGAATGAAGGCTTCTTTCCATCTTCCCAGCGAGGTGGCGCACACACCTTCTGATAACTTTGATATGGTGGAATTCCTTCTCATCACTGCCGAACGCCCTGAGCCTGAGCTGTCCGAAGTTTAGGTGTTACAGCAGCAACCTCAGCCGTGGGCTGGCTCTGCTGAGTTCGAGAGCAGCAGTTTAGCAACCTGGCAGAGATGGCAGAGAGGCAGAGTCCATCGAAGGGTGGCTTTTCTGCAAGGCTCCTGCCTGAATCCTGCCGTGGCGCGCAGCACTCATCAGTGCTGTGACCTCGCTTCCAAACTTACGATGGAGGCTGCTTTGGGGTTCCGGGAACACGCTGCAGCTCTGGTACTTACGAAGAGCTCAAGAGCCCGAACACCATGCGCAAGGTCCGCACCCCGCCCCAGACCACAGCATTGGGATCGGCCCGGCGGAGGAGGATCCTGGCTGCGAGGGCAGAGCTCTCCGCCAAAAGGGGCCGCTGACGAGGCAAGTTCCTGCACAGGGTAACCTCTGCAAGCGGAACTTGTGCCTTTGCACGGCCCCGACATCGCCCACCGTCGCCGCCTAGCCACGCGGGGGCCTACACTCTTGGGCTGTTCGGCTCCTCCTGCCTTACACTCGCCTCAACCCCCGCAAACATAACAACCTAAACCCTAAACCCCAAACCCCAAACCCTAAACCCTATAACCCCTAAACCCTAAACCCTAAACCCCGAAGGATTCCCCAAAGCTTTCTTGGAGGCCTGGCAGAGGCGCTCCGCGAGACGAGTTCGATGTTCAGACTGCCTGCAAAGACTGCAAAGCTGAAAAAGGCCCAAAGGCCGCGGCTCGGCCCTCAAAGAGGGGGCCCTGGGCCCCTAAATAAGGAGGCCCAGAAGTTCTACATGGGGCCCAAAAAAATTCGCGAAGCCAGGGGAGAAGCAGGCCGGCTCGGCATGTTCTCATCCAGGCCTCAGGGAGCTTTGGCTTTTTTGCGCTCTCTCCGTCTGGGCCGCTCTCTGCCATGCACGCGAGATTGACATGGACTATCACCTCGAGGCAAGGGGAAGCAAGCTCCGCAACAACCTGTGCCTGCAAAAGGGCTGAAACTTATAAGAAGAGCTTCCGGGAACAGATAATGATCACAACGGGGCCTCAAGTGAGGGCCTCAAGTAGCACTCTCTTGGGCCGGGTCTTCCGCCCTGCGGCGAAGGGGCCGGGCCGAGAGGCCTCAGCGGCCTCGGCACGGAGAGAAAGCTCAAAGAGCGCGAGAGGTTAGATTGAGAGAACTCTTTAGGGTTTAGGGTTTAGGTTGCAAAAAGATGATGATAGAATAGACTGGATGACAGCATCTTCACACATGCACACACACACACACATACACGCATCTCTTCGGATACTTCTCTGGGCCTAGAGGGCGTGTGAAACCCGCCGAACCAAAGAGCGGCCCCATTTCGGGCTTTTGAATGGTTTTAGAAAAAAGCAGTTTATGACTCGCTGTAGCGGAAAGGAGTCATCCCCTGCTTTTGCTTGACATCGGCTGCCACATCAGGGATACGCCAGGAACAGAATCACTACAGAAGCATGCACATAGATAAGAAGGCACTACCGGTGGGGGAGAGGTGTCACAACTCGAGGACCGAGAAAGGGGTCCCCTGCTCAAGAAAGCTTGACTCTCAGTGTAGGTGCAAGGAACAGTGCAGAAGAATACCCACTTGCTATCAACACGCCTGACTGACGGAAGACACGCGACGAGTCGGGCCAATGGCAAGAATCGGTTCTACCTCCAACACGTATCTCTCCTGTCTCTCTCCATCTCTCCATCTTGGTGGGGGTTTGTGGACTAGGGCCGGACGCTGCACAGGTTGTATTCAGGCAACGTGGCTTGAGGAATCGAGAGCAGACGGAACTGGCCGCCTTGCATTGAGCAGCGGATTCAGGCATGCCACACAGCTTGGGAAGCTGAGGCAGCTCTCGTGCCAAAGAGCCTCTGAAGCTTGGATCCCGGCGTGCCCCCGCCACTTTGTGCAGGCTGCTGGCTGTCTGAGCCTTACCAAGAGTCCACCGAGGTTGCTGAGAAGCTGAGGGCATCGATGCGTTAGGACTCAAGCTCTAGCCACTACCCAGTCTCAGTACAGCCAGGGATTTCCCAAAGCCTGACATTGCAACGAGGACTATCCTGGTTCTTTCGCAACCTCGAACCACAAGTACACAAGTACGAGTACAAACGGCGAGCAAGCCTCCGAAGAAGCCCGGCGTACTGCCGCCCGCAAATGGCGTCGGTGAGGCTGCCGGGGGCCCTTCGGGGGAAGACTACAAAACACTGCAACTCCTTGCGGTCCTTGCTTCAGTTTTGTCTGGGGGCCACCGCGGGCCTGGTAGGCCGGCTTCGATGCCCAAAATGCGCTTGAGCTCCTCGCAGCGCCAGCCCGCATCTGTCTAGGTTGCCTTGAATCTACACGAAGCCGAAGCCCCCGACCTTTCGTAGAGAATGCCCGAACCCTTCCCAAAGAACCAGAAAGTTTGCTCCTTTTCCCCAGGCCTCCACGCCCTCTCTGCTCGAGTTGATGAGACCCTGGAGCACAGAAACCTGTGATGACATCTGATGGGGGAAGCGCAGGGATGTTCTGGCTTCAGGGCTGGTCGCGGATGGTTAGCGCAGGTTTGGGGCTTTGCCAGGGTGGAAGTCAACAGAAGCTGAGCCTGGCACGCAACGATATGCCAGGGCACAGAGGCCCGTTGTTTTGCGGATGTCAAGCAATGAAACCCTGGGTATCTTTCGAGGTGGGACGTTCCGGATGAGTCTTTCAAGCGCTCCGAGGAGTTCGTCTTTTTAAATCCTGGCCTGGCTGCCTGGGCACGGGGAGGACTCGAAGCTCTGACCGACAAGATTACGCGGCAAAGCTCACCACTGCAGCATAGAAGCATAGTCGCGCAGCTGCGTCTTGGACGCACCCACACCTCGCTTGAGAACATGGCTGAGTGAGCCACTTGGGGGAGGGAGCTCGCGCCAAGAGTCCTGAACTGCTACTTGGTTTCTACTGTAGTGTAAGAGTGTAAGAGTGCCTTTTGCTGGGACACTCTCCAGGTTTGGGGGGAGCCCTGCAGTTTCGGACCCGGGATGCTGGAAGCCCGAAACATGGTCGGGCCATCCCGGCTGTTGGGTCTCCGTGAACAGGACCCCGACAGGGAACAGGGGCAAGGGAGATCCTACTGACAGATCGAAGCCCAGATCCCGAAGCTGGATTCCTCTTAGAGAACTCAAGAGTATGCGGAAGAGTCTTTTGAGGGATCCTCACCTCAAAAGGGCCAGCCATTGCAGAAAAAGACAGAAAGGGCTTACAGAACAATTTCAGGCAATATCGCTACAAGGCGGTTTCACATAAAGTTGCGGCCTGGGACCCTCAAAGGACCGCGCGGGCCAGGGCTGCCCACCGAGTGGTGACCGGAGAAGCAACTGTGGCCTCCGGAGGGTTTCAAGTTTCGCTTCAGTTTCTATCATTCTGAGAACCTCAGCTTTTGCGGGCTTAGGGTTTAGAGTTTAGGGTTTCGGGTTTAGGGTTTTGGCTTCTTTGGTCCTTCAGGATATCATGATTCTGGAGACGCGCTTTGTAACGGCTACATAGCCGCATTGAGACGAATCCTGAACCGTCCGTGGCATGCAGGCTTGCCATGAATAATTGAATATTAGGGTTTAGGGGTTTAGGTTTGGGGTTTTGGGAGCCACTGGGGCCCAAGCCTTCCCGTAGGCGTGGCTGTCGTCTTTTAGGCGCGAATTGGGCCATGGATACAGAAGACTCGTCTAAACGTAGAAGATTTCTGGAGCCCACACAGGACATTGCTCGTCAGATTTGGCGGGACATCAGGTCATTATATGAAGCTTCAGATGGTTTTGATTTGAGCTGGCCTGCTTCGGGCAATCGCAAGGCTTATCATGTTCAGCTGGACGGACGCCACAGCACTGACGGGCAGGAACACCTGCTCAGTGGTCACTTGCTGGGCAGCTGGTTTGAACAGAGCCACGACTTTGCTCCTCCCGAAAGCTTGACTAAGGTGGTCGTCCGCGTTTCGTCGTCGGCATACCTTTCGGTGGCGCAGCACGCGCGGTGCCTCCGCATACTGCATGCCAGGGTGACAGCACGGGATCATGATGCTGTCATTGACACATGCGATGGAGTTGCTGTGATTGCAGGGGATGCAGTTGTTAGAAGTGATGAGACTTTGGAGGTGGCTGAGCTCTTCTCCGGTGGTTTTTGTGGATGGAGTCAAGGGGTTCAGGTTGCTAGGCGCTTTGGTATTCCTACCAGGGTACGTTGGCTGCTGGACACAGACCAGGCTTGCATTCCTGGTGCACAGGTCATTCACCCTGACCTTCAGGTTGCCCACACCATTCCAGATATCTGGGAGGCAATATCATCAGATGCAGCGGTGTTCCTAGCAGCAAGCTTAGAACATGTTTGGTGGGCCCAGGGCTTGGCAATCAAGCCACCGCATTGTGTATGTGTTTCGGCACCATGTCAGCCTTGGAGTGCGGCTGCTAACCGCCACGGTCTTGCGGAGGAGGATGGTAGGCTGTTGTTGCACACCTTTGCCATACTTGCATGCTTCCAGCCTCCCCTTGTTCTGTTAGAGCAGGTACCTGGCTTCCAAGGCCATGACCACTTTCCCATGGTGCAATCCGCTTGGCAAGATTGTGGTTATAGGTTGGTTTGGTCCTGCCCCATAGATCTGGTTGATTTCGCGCCATGCACTCGGAAACGCTGTATGTTCGTCCTTGCACATAAGAACCAGCAGACACCGGTCTTGCATACTGAGTGGCCGGTGCTCAGCCGCAGGCCAACCTTGAGCTCCTTTGATTGCATTGTACATGCCCCAGATGGGATGTTCGAGGCCTCCATCCCCAGTGAGGCTACTTTGCATATGTACATGGATCCATGGTACTTGCCTGCACGGCAGCATGGCACGGGGCAGCCGCCCAACATGCATACATATAGGCTGCGCACTGGTCAAGACCGAGCTGCATGTTTCATGGCACAATATCACTATCAGCATGAACTGCCTGAAGCTATGTTGGCCCGCCACGGGCTGTTCGGCTGTATGTACGACTCATCGGCAGGACCTCGCTTCTTCAATGGGGCAGAGATTGCCATCTTGCATTGTGCCAACTGCCCCATATGGCTGTCACGGGACGATAGGGAACAGATGCGCATTTTGGGCAATAGCCTCTCCCCTGCACAGGCGGTTTTCCCTTTGGCATTGGCATACCAGACATTGGGCCACCGTTTTTCTACTGCACAGTTCTTGTTGCAAAGCTTGTCCATGCGATTGAAGGCCTCACAGGCTCGCTTTGTTACTTTCCAGGAGGGCTGGCTGTTTTGTCCGAAGGGCGCGGAGTTCACGGCGGTTTCGTCAGTTCTGGCATGGTCTCCGGTTCAGTCTGCGCCTCTTTCTCAAACATGCCAACACTTTGTGCTTCAGACATCGGATGAACAGCTGCATCTGGTAGTGGCTCCGGATGCCCTCCTGCCTGATACCTTGCGCCTGTTTGGGCATGACTTCCCGGAGGAAATCTTTTCCCAATTGTGCACCGAGCCGGTGACGCAACCACAGGACCTTGTGGCACAGAACCTTCAAGCCGAAGCGTACCTGGATATTGATGCCACCCCTCGCCTGCCCTTACCAGGGGAACGAAATCAACGTCCCGCGGATCAAGCTCTGCTGGTTGTCATTGGCCATCAGGCCACATATGTGCTGGCGCGTCACAGCGCATGGTTCCTTTGGGGCCTGAGTCGCATCATGGACCTTGAAGGTTGGAAGGAGGCAGATCCTTTTGCGGAGGATTTCTGGGTCAATTTGCAGGGATACAGGGTTCAGTGCCGAGAAGAATTCTGTGGCACCTTGCACTTCCATTTTGGAGATCAAGCTGTCAGCCTGCCGGAGTGGAGCCTGTCCCTTGATGACACGAAGGCTTTCCAGGTCGTCGCACAGGCTGCCCCACCCCAGTTGCTGATTTCTGGGCCATCAGCCTTGAACCTCTGTCAGAGTTTTCCTTTGATGCACTTTATCGCCATCGGCTGGAAGGCACAGCTGATACCTGCAATGGACCACGAACAGGTCTCTGCCAGAATTCTTTTCACCGAGCTGACAAATCGCCCAAAGGCTTCGGTCTCCTGCCTCTGGCGTGCATGTCACAAACAGGTCTTTGTCGGGTTGCTTCGATGCATACAGCGGGTGGCACTTGGCAATCAAGACGCGGTCAATCAAGTTAAGGTCCAGTGGGAAGGTGCCAGCCTTTGGGAAGGATGTCTCCCTGGCGCTCTCACCTTTGAAGACATTGCGGATCTCTGGCAGCAGGCGGGCGCGTCCTTCCCGTGCCCTCTGCGCCTCAGGATTTATTCCGGCCACAAGTCTGTTCCTCCGGAGCTCCCTCTTTCGGCTGCCTGCTTGGGTCCCTCTCCGCCGGGTTTTCTTTCAAAGGGCCTGCGGTTGCTGATCAGTCTCATGCCCGAGTCTCGCGGCGGTGGGGCCAAGGATGCAAAGTACCAAGAGGCCCAGACTAATTTGGCGCAGTACTTCCTGGAAAAGGGTTGGCAGTTGTCGGCTGCGACAACGGCAGTGGATACTCTGCTGGGCCACGCAGGTGCCGCCAAAGTGCAACGGGCGCTTGAAGCCGCGGATCCTCAGCATCGTTGGTCACAGGTGCAGGCCATGTGCCGCCAATGCCAAATCAGCCTGCCAGATGCCACAACCAAGGTCGCTAAGGCGAATCAAGCGGTGCTTCAGGAGGCCCATCGCAGGTACCAAAGGATGCAAACCAAGCTTTCTGCCTCTAGCTTCCTGCTCACACCTGGCTTCTTCAGAAATGCGGATAAGACCCCGGCCACGGTTCTTAAAGGACTTCTTCCAGGAGCTTCGGGTGTCTGCCTCGTTGATGCACAGGATGCCCCTCGACTGTTGCAGGCATATGCCCAGTCCTCCCCGGACGAGCTCGGCCTCGTTGTCCTCGGCCATGACTGCCCCGACAAGAATACATGTCAAGGTGAGTGCGGCGTCCCCGCCAGCACCTGCACAGGCGAACAGGTCATACTACAGGCGTGCTGGCACAACCTAGGCCAACGGGCATTGCACATACAATGTGAGCATGACATCACTATGGCACCGCCAGAGGCCGTCTGCCTCTGCTTCACTGTGTTTCGCGATGAGTATGCACAGGCCGCTGACTGGCAAGCTCTGACAACCAACCCGGTGCGGGTTGTCCTGGACAAACTCCGGGACAGTGGGGTAACGATTTCTCTTGAGGCTCCATGGGGCCGAAGTTTTCGTCTTGACAATAAGGCTGCTCGCCCCGAGGCTTGCGATTCCGTGCAGTTCCATTGTCGGATCCCCAGAAGTGAACTGCTGCCAGTCCTCAGAAAATCTGGCCACAATCTGGTGTATGCCACTCCCAAGTCCTGGAGAAATGAGATCTTGCCTGGTTTTTCGGTCCTTTGGGTCAATGGTGGCCGGGATGAAGCTGTAGCACAGAGCTTGCAACTTAAGGATCAGCTCGGCATTGTGCGTTCAAGACAAAGATACGGCATCCGCCTCGAGGAGGCTGCTTTCCAAACGGCATGGCAGCAGCTCAAGCCCGGCACGGACGTCCCACCAAAAGTCGCTGTCAATTCTCTGTATAAGCTTTTGTCGGTGCCGCCGGACATCCGCAGCAAGGATTTGCAGGAATGGGCAGCTCAGCTTAAATGGACGGTCCGCCCCCTACGCTCCCTGGGCCCTCGCGAATGGTTGGTAGGAGCAGACGGCCCACCACCACCGGGTCTCTACAGCATCAATCAACAGGCCATACTTATACAGAAGGTCGAGGCCCGCCAGACGCATCGCCCAGTGGTCCGCGCCGGCCGTCTCCCGCGCACGACTACAGGCCCTGAAGCCTCCACTGATGTAGACCCCTTGCAGATCAATGATCCTTGGAAGAATTACCTTCGCACGAGTGCCCCATCTCTCCCAAGCCTGCCTGCAACTCCCCTTCCCGCTCCTCGCGCGCCAGCTGCGCCGACACAGGCCAAATTCGATCAGCAGGATGAACGCCTACAGAAACTCGAGGCTGGCCTTGCAGAGGTCCAGAGGGGTCACCAGGCTATGGCCCAGCAGCTCTCCAGCACACAGGTCGCGGTCGAAGGCCAGGTCAATCAGGTTCGTGCCGAGTTAGGCACTTTCGCCAAGGACTTCACATCGCAGCTTTTGGCAAATGCGGAAGCACAGAAGCAGGCACAAGCCCAGCATCAGCTCCAGCTGCAGATGGGTTTGCAGGAAATCAAGAATCTTCTGCAGGTCTCCCCACGCAGAACATCCGCTCCAGCTAAAAGGGAAGCTCCTGCAGAGAATCTCCCGGCCATGGAGCTTGATGGCCAGCTCTGACGTATCGAGACCAGGGATGCCTTTTTTCCTGGAGAAGGTGTCCCTCAATCCG